ATTATATTTTTTAATTATAAATGGCTATATTAAGACAGCATGTATCTTTTCGCTGCCAATCATTTCATTGAAATTGCTCATTGTTGCGCAGAAAACTGCTTCCAGCCTCTTAATAACATCCCTGGTTGCCTCATGGCTATTTGCCACGAATCTTCTCGTAGCCCGTGCCGCCTCTAGCCCTGCCTTATTGCATTACATATTACAATTACATTACGGTGCGGCTTTTGTGAGTTCAAATGAAGTTCTTCTAGCCCAAATTTACATATTTAGTATGAGCTCCTACAATGTGTGCAGCTCAAGCATATGTATATGCAGACAAAAGTGTTGCAATTAAAATCCATGTTTTGCTTACAAAGTTTGTGAAATTAAAAATTCAAATAATCGAAATAATTATTGCTCAGCTATTGTATATTCCACAAATTATATGCTCGCATGTCAGCAGGAGATTAGGTAGGCTTCTGAGGCATGTAATTCGCAATCTTTTTAAGCAAAGCCGACAGCAACAATAATTGGCAGGCTATACAGGCACTTAATGCGGGCACTCATAATCATCATGGATGCATGCTGGAGAATATGTAAATTTATTGTAAATAATATATGCAGATGTTTGTTTTTATTGCTACATTTAGATTACAAAGCGTACTTAATAAGCAGAAAATTTATTTTTTTCCATAATTTTGGATTAATATTTGCTTTTAATCAGGCTTTATGATTAACTAAAGACGATATCTATTTTTATGTATTTTATTTTCCATAAAAAAAATGTTTTTGACGAAAAATAAATTTTGAATTCTTTTCTCATATACCGTCCGATATATTCATAAAAAATTTAGTTTAAAATTATCTTTTTAAGCATAGGCAAAAAATAATATTTTTAGCAAATAAATAARTTTTAAATACCAAAGCTGCCGAAAAATATAAAATCCACCAATTATTGGAAATAAACATCTCAACTATTAAATTCTCCATCTACAAAAGCCAATTAATTCAATAATAAATTGTGTGTTTTTGCTTATCTAAATCGCCATCGCACCCAATAAGTCAACAACAGCGCAATTAATTAAAATATGAAATAAAATGCTCAAATTTGACAAAAAAAAAAATGAAATAAGAAACAAACAACGCATAAAGACAAGCGTCCGTGGGCTTTGAACATTTCCCTCAACAAGCCGTTATTTTAGTTTACAACATGCCTTTACAAATATATTTACTCATGTTCAACCATTTATATGGAAATTAAAGCTTGCGATTTGCATGATTCGCCGACTGCTGTTGTTTTTAATTTTGCTAACTGCTTTTTTATCGCCAAACTAAATAACGGCTCATTAAGCGCACAAGTTCGAGTAAGTGACTCGGTTATTAAATGGCAAAAGCAATCAATGTGGCAAGGTGCAGAATCTAAATTGTTTCACTTATTCAATTTGGTTATGTGCATATTTTTTACTGACATTAGGGGTGATCGGTATTCGTACGGAATAATATTTTTTTATGTCAAAATTTTTTATTTTTTTCATTAAGGGGTTTACGGGTTTCAAAAAATCGATTTGTTTATTTGTCTTATTAAATTCTACAACACTTCTATAAGCATCTAGAATATTGTCCTAAATTTTCAAGTAGATCCGTGTAATAGTTCCGGAGATACAGCTTTGAGAAAAGGCTAAGTGGTCCATCTTTTATCGCTTAGATCAGATTTAGGTTAAGTAATATTCCATCGTCTAATTTTTTTCCTTCCTTACCCACTACAGAGAAGATATTTGAGTTTTATTAGCCTGAGTATCATGAAAAAAGTAAAAGAGGGCCAGCTAAGTTGGCTGAGCAATGACTTTTTGCTTGTGTTTCATTCGTAAGTCTCTCTTTTTCGAACTAAACAGGAAGTTTTCTTAAGAAAACTTTAGGTATTCATTTACGTCACGTTATCGGATTGTTTCATCTTTCTCAAATACTTCTTTATTGAGAAAAACACTTAAATAATTTTGCCAGAAGTTTTACTGAAAAAGTCAGGATCTTCTTTGAATTTATTTCTGTGACGGAAATTTTGTACAAAGGGATCTATTCACTTCAGCTCTGTAGGTAATATCGTACACAGATTCTTTAAAGAAATTGTAGAACTAAGTAGCACACTAATAGAGAAACCATAATTCAGAGAGCTTTTAATTTAGTCTGTAAGAAAATATTCTAATATAATAATTTGGACCTCGCTAAATGTAAAAAGTTTCATTATTTTTCTTCTGACTCTAAGACAGTTAGGTTAGGTTAAGTTAATCTGGTAGGCTACTAAGCCACGTATAAACCAGTTTGGTCCTTTGCGATATCAGATGGAGCTCAGTTGCTAAGTCTAAAAGAAATAGTCATGTTGTTATTTAGGATGCTTGCGCTTGACGCGAATTTTAACAGACTCTGCGGCCTCACCACCGATATCTCCTGCGGTGTTTCATACTGTGGGGACCCAAGAAGCTTACATCGTATTCTTGTCAATGCGGAATAAATGCACAAAATATGCTCCATTTTCTCCGTGGTTCCTTGCTCTAGACATTTTCCGCAGTCTTCTCGATCTGTCTGCACCATCCTGTGTCACCACCAGACAGTTACTATCCTATAGTCATATAGTATCTTCTATCGAGTACCAATAAGAATTTTGTGTACTTACTAACACAATTCAATGTTGTAAAATTCCCTTGTCTTACTGACAAGAATGACTGACACTTATAACATCTAATAAACTTGATACGAACTGACATTTAAAGAACAACCCTTTGTCATCGCCTTCAAATTAGGCTATTTAATGGCTTCAATGACTTTTAATGGCTTCAATGAATTCTTGGCAAGTTCTCCGAAGCACGAATATGATGGCTGAACGATGACTCTGGTTTGTCTTTTGATCGAAAACGCAGTCACAATCATGCTATGATATACATTATCGTAGAAAAAACCATAAAATCAAAAGCACTGAACGAAGAATTGATTTACTTAGATGACCAAGTAATATTCGGTATAGATCGTTTGACCGTCTGGAACGAATTCATGGTGAACCAAACCGCGGTAATAAAAAATCGATAATGATCATCTGGATTTTTGAGCGACTTTGAGGTCACATTTTTAGAGTGTCATTCACCAGATGTTGGACTGGTTCATCACTAGTAATGATGTGTTTGATGAATGAAGGGTCCCAATTCGTTGTCAAGTATCGCTTTTGCGATCAGTACTCGAGGTCGTTTTTGAAAAATATTTATGTATTTTGGTACGAGTTTAGCATACCCAACATATTATCCAAAAAAATTAACCGAAATATGTCAACACATAAACAAGGCTAAAATCCATCATATTTTCAGCGATGCCGTTGCCGTATACCATTGGAAACATAAGCAAAATATTTGTTCAATTATTTCAAGGTTATTCCAATCTAAGAAAAAAATATATCGAGTCGGTTGCTCAATCAGCAAAAAAAAAAAAACAATCCGGTTCAAATCTGATCAGTTAGTTTACCACAAACATAGAAAGATTAACTAAAGACTAGTCGGCTAAAACCGCGCAAGCAGTTTCTACGTCATTAAAGAAGAAGTATACCGCAAAATTCCTAGCAGACTTTCAAAACGTACATCCCTAATGCGAATTAACACTTTTTATCGTGTATCGCGCGCCAATTAACCAAACAGTCAAACTGGCCAAATGAATTAATGATTAAATGGTCAAGCATACATTTGGCAAACCAGTTGCCGTTATACGGCTTGCCAACAGGTGTACAACAACTGCAACGCTGATCAAGCCGACGGCCACTAAACGGCATAAAATACAACATTTTATATTTTGTAATATTGTTATTGTTGTTACTAGTTATGCATGTGTTTGGAGCGCATACAGAATTATTGAAAATGTTCGAATGTGGCAGGTATGCAAATTTGCGCCGAAGAAGCGAATCGAACTGAGACATCGAGAGGCCGTCGGCAATTTGCACGCGATAAAAATCTTGCAGCAAATCGCCTTAAATGTGCGATTAATGTCAATTTTATCAATAAAAACATAAACACGGTTGCACATGCGCGTGCAACACACAGCCTATGACGACCGGCGACGGTGTGGTGTGTTGCAAAGCAGCTGAAGGCTGAGCATAACTGGTCAGCGGTGAATTTACGATGCAAGCGTTGGTGGCGATGGCGTTGACGATGACGATGGCGTCGGGTTAAGCGCTTAGCGCTGGTAATTGCAATTGATAAAACCCTCGTCTTTCGCCGCCTGGCTCCGTCCTTCAGAGCTCCAATGACGACTTGAAAGAGTCGTGGCGTAGCATATGTGGCATGCGAAGACACCGCTGTCGCTGCGGTTGGCATGTCCAGTTGGCTTGCATGTTCGGATGCCGCTAAGTTGACATGCCTTGCTGGGTCGCGTCGCTCTCTGTGAACATCAGCGCCGAATTAAACCGATTACGATATGAAGAATCGTTAAAAGATCAATTTGAACACATGTTAAGGTGATGATGCTGCAACTCGCGCATCTCACATGCAACATGTCACTGTGGCAAGGCGTCTTTTGATTTTATTAAATTGTTGGCATTTTTCAGCTGAAGCAAAAGTGGACTTTATTTTATTTTAGTTTGTTATTTGCTTGAGAATCCAGCGTACCGGCTTCATACTTCCAACACTTTTTGAGTTTGAGCGCTGATTGCTTCATTTTAGCCAATTCTTACTATGACAAATCAATTTTTGAGATTTGCAAATATTTACTTAAATAAAAATACTCCTTAACTAACTTTCATGGGACTGGCAATAGTGTTTAATACAAAATTAAATAATGAAATGAATGTATGTGAATTTGTAGCTAGAATATAATAAGACTTTAGTCTTCAAAACGTACAAAAGCAAGAAACATTAACTTTGGCTGTATCGAAGCTGTTAAATCCTTCGCAATGGTTTCTTCTTTTCGCTATTTGGCACTAATTGAAGATACCAATTGCAGTCAGGTCCTCTTTTCCCTGCTTCCGCATGTGAGTACTGAATCAAAAACCTTCAAAGCTGAAATGATCTCTTCTATCCGTCTTCCGCAAAATCTTTTTCTCGAACCCTCTTAATGCCGACTCATCAGATGATGTCATTGTTCATGGCTCCGCGCCATATAGCAGGACTGTAATGATGAGGGACTTGTAGAGTTTGGTCTTTGTTCTTCGAGAAAGGACTTTACTTTTCAATTGCCTACGCAGGAGCAACTTTGGCACTTTTTGGCAAGAGTGTCTCTGTGGAGGATTTCAAGACTGACATTATTGGTGGTGCTAATGGTTGGTTGGATTTTAGAGTTATGACTGCCAACAGATACGTGTGAGCCAAGTAGTGAATGCGATGACTGTTTGTTTGATGATGGGAGATATTTCGTCTTCAATTTCGAGCTTTCGAAGTTAGCTTTAAAATCGACAAAGGGGCGACGTGTGTCGACTTTCATTTCAGAGTTCTTATCCAAAATTTGGCGCCTGGTAAAAATCTGACCGATTGTAGATTTTCAAATGGGTGATTGCTATTCGAATCATATCATAGTCGGGCAATAGAACATCTATTCCATCGTTATTGATTGGAATGATTGGCGATGTTACACTTTCACTGTCGTTCAGCAGGTTGGAGAAGTGTTCCCTTCATAACTTCAATATGCGCTGAACGTCAGCCACTAGATCAATATATTTCGGATTTGCCCCTACGCCACGACAATGTGACCCAAGCGCGGATTGTGGCTAGACGCTTATCCAACGGAGTGAATGCCAGTACGCGACGTCTGAGTCTTGCTTACTGAATTGGCTCTCGTTTATATGACTGTTGTAATAGATATCCATCGAGTTTCTTGGATGGCGATGATGTCAGCTTGACATCAGGACATGAACCATCCAATTTAGAGACTGTACAATCCAGGTATATGTCCTTAAATCATTGCGCTTATTACGTGGCCGTCGGCAAAAGTGAGGTCTTTCATCCGAGGCTGTTGCTTCTTTTTCATTGGGAGTGATTTCTACTTGGACGGTCCCAAAACCAGCGCATAACCTATCTAGTTTAAAGTTTTGACACTGGCTACTGCATCTAACACAAGGGTTGCATATGTTTTCAAGTTGCGCGGCGAAGAGGCAAGAGTAGGAATTAGATATAGCCATATGACTGTAGCTGTTTGCCCAGAAGCATGACTATATTCCATTGCATAATGTTATCTTTGTCAATAATTTATGTCAAATTTCAAGAATATATTTTGCCAAATAAAAAACTTTTCCACAAAAATTTCATGTCTATATCTCATATACTTAGGAACTAAAACTGCCTCATATACTTAGGGAACCAGTTTCAAAAACAAACCGAGAAGCCTGATTATGTCGCTCCTAAATTCATGAATTCGTTAAGTGCCTTCTCAATAGAAAATGGAATGGAGGCGTCTGTTTAAAATAGATTTCTGTCGAACTTTTTCCGTTCAATTAGTTGGTAATCGGTAGAAATTCTCGAATCAAAAGAGATCATGATATCTGAAGATCCCGAAAATAGGTGATGTCCATTGTTTTTGTTGCTCGTTGACCACACTTATTACAGCCGTAGCTCGTATTCGTATAGACGATTAAGATCATTGCTTAGAGTACATAAAAGTACTTGTACTTGTATAACGGCATATTTGCAAACTCATTGCAAGTGCACCAAAAATTGCCTATCAAGCGGAAATTGTTCGCTGTCATCTCAAGCGACTTTGGAACTGCCACTTGCTCAACTCACAACTCAAGAAAAGCAAACCGCACAGCTTCCATGCGTCACTCCGACGATGGCACAGACACACACTTTTCATTTGTGGCAATACGTGGGAGCGTTCATTTGCGAACACTTTAAGAATCAAGTTCAAATTACCAACCAACGTAGTTCGACGGAAAAGAAAATAAAGTTAGAAACAAAATAAATTAAAATTTAAAAGAAAAATTGCGCAGCAAACGGAGCAAAATAATCAACAACTGCAGATAACAACAACAACAAATATTGCAGCTGCAAAGTGCAGACATGCTAGTGGGAGAAGAGAAACGCCGTCGGTGCACAGCTTAAAATGAAATAAAGAATAAAAATACAATGTGTGTTTTTGTTTTCGTAAATGCAGCAGTTGCCGTGTGCTGCAGCGTGATTTGTTCCCAAGCCTCGCTTTGGCTGGTTGTGCAACACCGCTGCATTTTGCACAGAAATTGCTCCAGTTTCGTGAGATAATTTCGAATCACAAAATGTTTTCGTTTTTGTTGTTTTTTTACTGTTTTTTTTTTTTTTTTGGAAGTTGTTGCGGGTGCAACAAATGTTGCACAATTAAACGTTGCTTAGTTGGCGGTTTTGAGCAGTTCTAATTCACTGTTTTGGTTTGATTTAATATTGTTGTTGTTGTTACTTTTAAATTGTACGCCCAACGGTAAATTGCTGATGAAATGTGTAGCGCAGGTTGAAAAAAAAAAAATGTTAAAATTCGAAATTAGGTCTTGGTGCAACAACACTTCTTGGAACAACAAAGCAGAAATATTTTTTTTTATTTCTACTGAAGTTGTCGCCACCTGTGCTGTGCAACAAATTAGTCTACTTCGTGCCTTGAAATGCAGTGTTGCATGTTTTTTCATATGCAAATAATTTTTT